AAGTTGTAGGAAACAATGGAAAACCAAAGAATTTAATTCCTACTAAATTAGACAAAGTTTCAATAGAAGAGAGTTGTAAGATGTTTTTGGTTTGGGGTTTATTTGGTAATGCTATTTGGTTTACATTTTCTAGAGGTAGAAAGTAAATATTGACCGAATAATGTGGTTGATTGAAAATAAATATTGAAGTCTAAAAGTTAAACATGAGAGAGTACTTGAAGAGTCTCTTGTAAATAACTATATAAGGCAGTGCTTTACTATATGATAAAACAATAGAATATTTTTAAAATCTGAGGTGATTTGTCTAAAGCTCCTTGAAAGAAAAAAGTCACAAATTAAAGGTGTATTATGTCATTGCAATTTGATCAGCTTTTATACCTTTATATGGTAGCCAAATTGCACTCATTTATATGTATCTAAAGCTGCTTTCTTAGGCATCAGTTGTTCCACTTTCCTAACACTTTGACAATCAATTTTCAAATCTCTCCGTATCTAGAATCACTCTCAAAAAGTATGTTTTATGACTAACACAGTCTGCAAACACACAAAAATAATTTTATTTTCAAATCTGAAACCAACAAATATCTTTGTATACTACCATTTGAGGATGAAAATTTGTTTTTCTCCATATTTTGATGAGATATATCTAGAGGATGTTGGATATTTGCTTCTCCAAATAATAAATAAAAAACTATTCTTAAAATAATAGTTTCAAGTTTGAAGTGCAGCTTTTTCTTTTTTCATAAAATATTAAATAGCGAAGTCAAAAATGCTTTAAGTGTTCTCTCTCTACTAGTTTGAGGAGAAACTAATTCATGTGAATCAACACCTCACATAGTCTGGGTTTAAGAAGTTAGCATTATCTGAGAAGTTGCTATTTTTAGACTCACTGTAATGTTTCTAACTTTGGTGCTCAGAGTAGTGGGTGCTTCCTTTCCCAGAAGGCTCTGCATTCTCAACATGTGCAGGTCAATTTGACACAAAGCTACCTACAAGGACCAACAGGCCCATTGCAGGCTGTGTTTCTAACTTGAAAATTATGAGCAGGTACTGGGAGCCACAGGCTGTATTTGAGAACCAGCTGCATGTCAGTACAAGCATGGATTGTGGTCTCTGGAGGCTGGGAGAGCACAATGCTTGAAGTTAATTTCTTTGGGAAATAAGAAGAAAAAAATACCTTTCTGCCTAGCAAGATCAACAGCATATTAAATCTGACTATCTTCAGAAGTGTGCTGGACAGTTGCTAAGTAAATATCCACTTTTCAAAGATGATGATCAAGGAAACATCGCTACGAAGGGACCCGGATTTAAGGGGAGAGTTAGCTTTCCTGGCAAGGGGCTGTGATTTTGTTCTCCCGTCACGGTTTAAGAAGCGGTTGAAGTCATTTCAGCAGACACAGGTTTGAAACTTGGGTGTTTCTTTTAAAACATTTTTATTACTAATAAAACCACCCAGTGAACTAACTTACAAATAATTTTACAGCTCACTTGATATTAGATCAAGGAATTAATCCGTGTCCTCTATTCAGCTATTTGCAGAAAGCTATTTGTAGAGAGATTCCAACAGGTTTAAAAATAGACCTTCTGGACCTGAGTACAGTACTCACATTTTTCTCTTGTAGAGAGGGAATCCAGTTTTAGAGACAATAAATACAACTTAACAAATATTTTACAATTTAGTGGAGAAATATTAGAATTTTTCATAGAAATACCTTTGAGAAACAAAAATTTCTGTGTTAAAAGTCTTGTTTGTACTTGGAATTAAAAGGCTATGTTTGAGTTAACATACATATATCTGTAATGAATATTTTTAAAAATATTGATCCTGTTAATGTTTTTTTTTAAAGAAGAACTAATTTTATCTATAGACAATTTTGTGTGTGTGATATATAATGTATGTGGCAATTAACTCCTGGGTGGTGAGAGAGTATCCTCAGCAAGCTGTGAGATTGGGTCATTTCTGCCTGCGATGACTACTTTGCAGTGCCCAAGCTAACTTGCTTACACCCTTACGGCCAGTGTCTCACAAATGAGAACCTAACACTGACTACAATACAAATCAAGAGCCATACACATGATGGCCATCCAGAGTCCAGCAGGAAACCATAGTTTCATAGTTATTCTCACCCGGAGTAATTTCAAATTATTTGATTGGGCCAGATGAAGTTGTATTTTTTTTAATAGCTCAAGAATGGTCAAAGATTGGAAATGCTACAGTGAAAGGATTCAGAAGGAGTATCTAAGTGATACTGTTTTTTAAAGGGAAAGATTGAAATGGAGAATTGAGATAGTTTACCCAGCTAATTCTATTTTAGTGCTGTTCCTAGACTTGAGTGAAAATGAGCAGATGCTAAAGTTGCTGGTAAGTCTGGCAAAATGTATATTACTGTGTTTTGTTCCACAATATAATATTTGTGAAGAGTCGGTTTTATTAAGTTCTATGTTAAGGTTTAAATTATGTGTCTCCTATTAAATTTAATGATACACCTGAATTGATATACCTGAAAGTTCAAAATAAATGCATTCTTTTTATTTTCCTTTTAAAATACTAACATCACTTTTATTAAATGTGTATCAACCAATGAATTAATAATTGCCTGCTACATGCTAAGTACATTAAGGAAAATAAGAGACTATCATATAGTCAAACATTTTCCCATTGAAATAAAAACCTTGACACATAGCCAGGGTTTGTTTTGAATGTCACTTATTTCTGTCAAAGCAAAAAGTATGGAGTCAACATTGGAGGCTTTCCTCTGAACCTTCCCCACCAGCATGTGTTCACTAGACTATTGAGTTTCATCCCCACTGGCACCAGTGGTTTTAATCCTATGGTTATAACTGTTCTGGATGTCACACCATGGGAACGATTTTCAGGAAACAAAAAAAGAATGTTGATGATTAGTATACCTGTCTCACAAATCTCTTTTAGCATAGAATAATAGAAAGGAAATGACACTAATGTAAATGACTCATAGGTAAAGCCCGTGGACAGAATGCCTTATTTTAGAAGTTTAAGAACATTTTCTACTGCTGCTAGCTCATAAAACAGGGTAATAATATTTGCAGATTTAACATTAATGCAGAGAGAAATGTTGATTTAGAATAGACTATCAACTTGTTAAATCATAAGTGGTTTGTAAACTTTAAATTGCTTTACAAATGTGATTATTTTATTTATTATTGAATCTGAAGAACCATGTTTAATGTTTTGAGATTCCGAACCTTTGGCTCATTTTCTCAAACAAGGACATATGTGACCAGCACTGTTTCAAACCCTTTACCTGGGTAGTTTTCTCACTCCTGTAATTTCCTTTAATCCTCACAATGACCTTACAAGAAGTAAGGATTTTAATTTGTTTTATTACTGAAGTTCTAAAAGGTTAAGTAACTTTACCGAGGGCACAGGGCTAGTAAGTTATCACTGTTTTTTGTTAAGTTTTCCATCTTTCATTGGTATCACTTCCCTCTGTGCCATTTCTTTCTTGACTACTGTTTTATATGAGTGACATCCTGATACTGCAGCAATGGCTTAGTGTGACCAGCTGGCCTTCATATCCCCAGCAGTATTAATATATGAACAGACTCTACTCTATATATTAATGTCAGATATTAACATGAGAAAAGGGTCATGTATAACAGGAGTAGGAGACTCAATCATATTTATCACATATTTATGTGAATGAAGCTTATCTTCCTATAATATTTATATTTTTCAAGGGTAGCTAAGATTTTTATCCTGAATCTAAATATGTTATAAGCTCTTATGTCAGAAGGAAATATGATATTCAGCTCTACTTACCTTACACCTCCCTCCCCACCCCATAATCACCACTGTTGTTCAGTCCATAAGTCCTTTTTTCCTTTCTGCTCAATCCCTCCAACCCCTAACCTCCCCCACCTTAACTATCATCCTGCTCTCTGAGTCAGTCTCTGTTTTGCTTGTTAGTTCAGTTTGTTCACCATGCTCTTACTTTATATGGCACCTAATACAGTATGTCATAGCCTTGATGGATAATTGGTCAAAATTAAGAGTGGAAGTTAAAACTCTGAAAATCTTCATGGAATCTTTGCTTTTTCTTCTAGGAATCTCAGAACTAAATTTAGTCTTCATTGAAAAAATAAACGTCTCTACCTAAATGTTAGTGTATCTCCCCTCCACTTTCCTTAAATCATGGATAATCTTAGTCTCTCCATTACCCTCCTCCCTTTTTATACTGTCCTTTCTTATGTCTCTTTATTATACTCCTTTTTGGAAAAGAAAATGATATATATAAACTATAAATGAGTTAGTAAATTGTAAAGGTACTCTGGCTGTGATTAAATTAATGACCATGATTCTTGCCGGTTAGAATGTACCAAAAACAAGAGAACTTTGTATCTTGGAAAATATGGCATGCCCCTAGTAGCAAGTAAGTCACCTTGGTAGAAGATACTCCAAAACAAAAAAGCTTTAATTTTCTTAACAAAGACTTTCTCTGCATCAGGGGTTGTCAGTGATTCTGACACTGACAAAGTTAAACTGGGGAAGATGGTGAAAGCACACTCCCTCCAATAGATTTTAGATCTGCATATTTAAAAAGAACTCGTTCTATCTGCCTATTGAAGAGATGGAAATGTACAGAAAATTTAAGAACAGTCTTCAAAAAGAATTTACCAATCCAGTTCCAACAGACTACGAATACACCTCAAGATCCTTAGTATGTCAGCTGACATTGCTCTTAAATGTCTGCCACATAAGTTATGGGGAAATATATGTTAGGATTTTTAAGCATAAATTTATATAAACTTGGGTATTGACAGATAATTAATGTATTTTATTTAGTACAGATAAACATTCCCTAGAAGCATGCTTGCCACCCTCTATAGCAGAGTCAGCTCTTGATCTCTACTGTCTCTAATTGTGGTTTATTGTGTTTACTTCCTATTACTGATGAGGACTTTCAAAAAGTATATGCTGTTTATAATTTTTGGGTCTCATAATCACATTTTCCTTGCAGGTTCAAAATAAACCAGAAAAGAAACCTGGAACGCCACTGCCACCTCCAGCTGCCTTTCCCAGTATTCCCCAACCTCTTTCCCCTGTTCCTCATGTGAATAATGTTGTGAACACACCATTGTCCGTAAACATTCCACGGTTCTACTTTCCTGAAGGACTCCCAGATGCTTGCAGTAACCATGAACAGACTCTAAGTAGAATTGAAGCTGCTTTCATGGATATTGAAGATCAGAAAGCAGATATTTATGAAATGGGAAAAATTGCAAAGGTAATGTAATTATTAAGTGATGTATAATCTTCCTTTCTCTAGCAATCCCAGTCTCTCCTCTTCACTGCCTGTTTCCTCTCTGTTTTTAAGCATGCTGAAAAAAATTTTTTCCATGTTGAAAAATTTATTTGATCCTGATATATCTTTAGCTATGGACCTATTTCATGGAACTCTTAGTGGACCTCTCATTTAGCTTTTCATTTAATGTAGGAATTCCAACCATGACATCACTGACACACAAATTCATTCTCTGCTTGAATGCTTTCAGTGACAGGAAACTCACTGTCTTGCCAGGCAACCTGTTCCATCATTAAATATAGCCTTACTTGGTAGAAATATTTCCTTTGTGTTGCATATAAATCTTTTTTGTTGTTGTTGTTGTTCTCAACCAATCATCATAACTCTGTCCTGAAGCCAAGCAAGGAACCACCAGGCCAGTTCAACACTAATTCTACTCAGAAATAAATGGATTTTCCACTAGGAAATAAGTCTTTGATACTTTCCAATATATCCAACTGCATTTAATTTAAAGTCTTAGCTTCTAATGCCAGAACAACTATAAATTATTTATTTACTGGATTCTACAACTCTAGCCTCCTCCTAGAACAAGTAATACTGAGCATGACCATTGCATTATATTTCATCATGCCATTCCGCAGCTCAGCAACATTCAGGGATTCCTACCATCCATAATAGTACTTTCTTTTGCTTGCGTTTTATTTTTATCATGCACTTGTATTGAGTAACACCATACCTCAGGATTTAGCAGTGATTTCAAGCTGTACTTGAAAAGCACTTGGTAGGTTAAGGGCTACATGTAGACAAGTAGGAGAGCAAGCAGGAGGTCCCAAGATACCATGCACACTTATACTAGGAATGGTTCCCCTGTTTTTAGAAATAATATTTAAAAGTTTGAAAACATTGAAGATAAAACTCAAATTCCCTAGATAGCTATTCCCTGAGTCTGACCCACTCGCCTCCCCACAGGCCCATCTCTGCATTTGGGCTCTCAGTTCTCCCCTTCAGAATAGGCCTCCACTCCTGCCAACCCCCACATCACCTGCCCTTTTAAGGCCTAGTTTCCATCCTGTCTTTGGAGAAGTCCCTGGATCCTCACTCCAGTCACACCCTGTCCTCTCCCCTACCTCTGACCTTGGAACATTTGTTACTACTGTTAAATAATTTGTAAATAGAATGGTTTTAAGGGAAATTAAAAGGACTTTCTTTATTCCCCCTTTCTTCACTCCTAATCTTAGAACTTGTTTGTTGGTCCCTTAGATGTTTCTAATAAAAAACAGACTCTTTCATTCCAGAAATAAGAGCTCACCTGTTTCCACATGAGGAAACTGAAGTCTCACAAGTACTTACCTGAAGTCACAGAACTGGTACACATCAGGAGACACGTCCCCTAACTCTTAGCACTGTGCTATTTCTACCACGTTATCTCCCCTGAATATGTACTAACATACCATTAGCTAACTTCCCATTATTTCCGCCCTAACAAATTATAACTTCTTTCAGGGCTTTGGCATTTTCTTACCCAAAGTTTTGAGAAGTGGTTATTGTGTGAACCAGAGACAGTAAATTATCTAAATGGGCCGGAACTATGAATCTAAATCCAAAAGACAGAATTTAGCAAGGATGAATGGAGTTTGCATCTGGAAATAACATGTCAACTGCATAAATACCAAATGGTATTTCTGATATGACAACAGTTTGTGTGAGAGAGACAGGAGATTTTCATGGACTGCTTCAGGCAGGCAAACAAGGAGAGACAGACTTGTCCAGATTAAGGGACATGGTGGTTCCCTGGTGCTGTGCTGAGTCATCACACCTGGAGAGCCAATCCACATGATTAGTGCCTCACTCTCAGAGACCTGCTCTCTGCTCTGTTTTGAATTCAGGTCCTCTGGATCGACCTTCCTTCTCTGAATATTCCTAACCCTTGACCGAGGAGCCTATTTTGGCCTTTCTGCCCTCCTGCCTCCACCCACCTGTAATTCAGGTATCCCTGCCCTGCTCTACTGTTCAGTGGCCCTCTAGCACTGAACAGATTCAGAGAAGAGAACAGGAGGCCTAAGATTGTCAAGGGAGATCAGGAAAGAGTGTAACCAAGTCAGGGATGGGTCTGTGCATGCTGGGGAGTCAGAGAAAGGACTGTGCTATTTACAGACAGTGAGGCTCAATCTGTATGTCATTGGGTAAAACTGCCAGTGTTGAAACTGACAACACAGAAAAGTTGAAAAAGGTAGAAAACTATATTGTTTACCATAGTAACAGTCATTTGCATAACAATTTACTGTATACCTAATCATGTGGCACAATAGCCAGTATACATACATGTCTGATTAACTTGCCTGAATTGTACTTGATTATAGACCGAAATTCCATTTATGGGTGCCAAGTATTAGTGCTCATTGCTCTTTCACCTTAATTGTTGGCTCAGGTAGCAAGGTAAGTTGCTCATACCTTTAAATTTTTAAAAACAACATTGCATATAAAAGTGAGAATGCGTGTACTGTATAATGACCTCACAAGATATCACAAGTGTATTGGTTTGTATTGTTTTGTTTTAGGTTACTGTATCAGCTCATTTTATTGGACCTTGTCTATTTTTAAAATCATTTATTTATAAAAATAGTTTATTTTAAAAATTCATTTAATCATGTCTTCTAGTTAGCCAATCCCCATTAAACCAGTTTTTACTTGACTATGGCAGTCTGTTAGCACTCACTAAGCCATCCTTATTTTCAGCCATTTTTACTGTGCTGTCCACTCTTCTCTGCCATTAGGCAGTGAACTCTGCACCTGCATCCCTTGCACCCTGTGTGCTTGTGTTCTCACAAGGGGTGGTCATTTGAAAGGGAGAAGAAAGACAACCTTTAAGGGATGATGAGGGGAGAGGTGGTTGGAGCAATAAATGAACATTTTTATGGATTCTTGTAGTTTATAAAGCTATTTGGAAGGCCAGCTTGAATTTACAATTGACTCTTGGTGACACTTAAGTATAGCTATACAGGCTGTGATCTGTTTTTTAAGTGCAAAGAAACCTCTGTGTTCATAAAATGTGCATCTGTTGGTGAAGTTTAGCTTATTTATCTTTGACCTCAAATAGCCATAATCCCTGGAGGAATTAATGCCCATTTCTGATTAAATCCTTAGTATGTAGTGTGTACTTTTCCCCACAGCTTTAAGTGATGATGGAGAAAAAATGAGAGAGTGAATCTAAAAGAGACAAAGGCAGTGTAGGAACCGAAAGAAAAGCGTTTGTCAGAGACTGGACCTCTATCAGGAAGTTGAGGAAAAAGAACGAAACTGTCTTCTGAACCAAGCTCTCCAGCCCCTGTTCTTACTGATGTAGCCCCATCTTGACCCACCAAACCTGTGACCTGTCAGGTACCCTCTGTGCCTTTATTTTCTTCGTCTGCAGAGTGGGATAAAAATACCTGCCCTCCTCTGCATGGGGCGTGAGGACCAAATGGAATAACAAGATGAAACATTTTAAATATTAAAGAACACTGCAAATATTGGTGATTATCTCTTCCTGTGTGTATCATTAAACCACCTTGCTTTCAGTTCTTTATATTGTTAGGCCATTGTTAGATCAAATTGTGTTAACTGAATTTTCTTTGTTCCAGTGACTTTGATTACCACATTGACTCTTGCCTGCTCCTATAAACCTAAGTTTCCTAAACCCATTTTCTGTATTTCCTTATACATCCCCACTTGTCATCCATTCTCTTCCTTTGTAAAAATCCTGACACTGGCTTATTCTCTCCTCTGATATAAAATTCTCTATTTTGTTTCCCTCAGATTAATATCATTTATTTTTCTTTTAGATTCTTATTAATCTCCTGATTCCCTTCATCTTAGTTCTTTTTTAAGCAGATGCAGGCGAACCATACATTTTTTTTAAATAATCAAAGTGCAGTGTCTGCAGCCCTTGCTTTTCACTGCCCTTCCCATTTTTTTTCATTTGGTGTTTTCTCCAAGGGCCTGATACCCTAACACTTGTTTACTCAGGCATCCCACGGTGAGCAAACTAGGTCAATCCTTTCCAATCTACTTCAAAACATATCCATTCTCTACCTTATCCCTTAGGATTTTGCCTTTGGGTCATAATAAATTTATAAGTGTTAATCTCTCAGTGACTTATTACTCCTTACAAGCTGACATATATGCATTTAACAGGAGTCTTGTGCAGAAAAGACTGTAATCCAAGGGAATAAAAGTTGTTCAGTAGTGAAAGTTGTTGCATGAGAGGTAGTGAGCACACAGCCCTTAGAAGTGTTTCAGCTGAGGCTGGTGACTGCTCGAGGTTGAGCTAGAACCCTCCTAGTCCATTCTAATTCTGAAAAACCCACAAGTGACTAACGGTGGGAGTTTGGAGCACTTTGACAAGTCACTTCCAACATCTCCCCGTACTTTCTGTTTATGGCTCTGCACCCCACCTTCATAATACAGGCTATTCTTTCAGCTTTCCCTGCAGTTGCCAATAACCTATAACATCTAAGAGCATTTTCTTGGCACACCAACATTCTCCATGAAAGGGAGGATTGGGATTGGGGAAAATGGATTTGACAGTTTACAACCCAAAGTATATTAATTGTGAGCTTTGTACCTTGGCAATCATAATTTACACAATAAAAAATCCATTTGGTTGCTAAGCGACATCTTTCCTCATTCTTGACCTCAGTGGAGGTATTTGAACTCTGGACTTAAGAAATCTGAAATTCCATCCTGCTTGCAGAACATGCTTTAGTGGCCCTGCCAGGAGCAGCCTATTATTTCTGCCCTGTACTTACCTCCCTAGGTTTGTATCTCTCCTTCCATATCCTCCTCTCTGACATGAGCCCAGTAGCCTTAAGTGTTCTTAGCACTCGCAGACTCGGTACTCTTCAGTCTTCTGTGGGGATCCCCCACACACGAAGGCTTCACACCAGAGGCAACTTTACCTGAACCTAACGTGTATTCACATCTTGTCAACCTCCAATGGAGAAACTTCCCTTTGTAGAATGATGAAGGCTCAGCAGATCCTCCATCTAATATGAATAATAAGAATTTCCTTAATAACAAGATGTGTTTCTTTGAAGAGTTCCAGATTTCAGAATATGTGTTACATGTATATATAAAATTGGGAATATTTGGAGACTATTTCTATGCTAATATGTAGATATTATCCTCACTAAGATTTTTCCTTTACAAAAAAAAAAGTAAATTTGGTAAGAATTCTTACATAAGAATTTTTTTAATTGAAAAAAGGAGCTTTTTATTGAAGAAAAAAAATTTACATTTTAGGATATTGTAGTTGCTTTATATTCATTTCCAGTTCTTCCTGAGGCTTTTATAATGTGAGTTATTTGTGGTAGTTTCTAATACATAAATAAATTACAGCATTTTCATTTTTACCTTTCATTTTTTACCTGAATTGTAACCATTTAAATAGATTAGATAGCTGTTTTCTTGAATGGTTGGGGCTTTTCTGATTCTTCTTGATCCTGGGTCTTAACCTAATATGCCAGAATTAGAGCCAGAGAGAGATAAAGGTAGAGAGTATTAACACCAAGTAACCACATAATAAAGGTGACTGTTTTTCTGCCATAGGAAGGAAGGTCATACACAACCATGACATTCAGTCATTTCTTTTTCTTTCTGGGAGATAAAAAATATATGATATAAGAGTGGTAGGAAGGGGGAAGACTGGTTACTTTAACTGTCAGGATAGGGGAAAGAAACTCTAAATGAAGTTGGAAAAAAGGTAAATGGATTTCTATTTTCTCCATTAAACATGTAATCCTGTATTTTGTTCCCCCTCTGTGTCTCTGATATATTTGCCTCTGTCCCTGTTTTGCTCTTCCAAGGGCCCTTTTGTCCACTGTGGCTTAAAGGGTAAAAGCCACAAAGGCTCTTTCTTTGGCCATGCCATCTCTTCACTGCCCCTTGGCTTACACTGTATTTGTGTTTTATTTGCAGGTCTGTGGCTGTCCCCTCTATTGGAAAGCCCCCATATTCAGGGCTGCAGGGGGAGAGAAGACAGGATTTGTGTCAGCACAGTCATTTACTGCCCTGTGGAGAAAGTACGTATGTGAACAGTTTCTCTGAGGCTAGGCAAAGAATTCTCTGCTCCTCATGACATGCTTCATAAAGGTCATTTATTTTACTCATTTATTAATTTTTCCTTTACCCTTTATTTCAGCAAGTAAAATTCAATGATTCTCAGCCATTTATACCCACACACAAATTCTTTCCATTAGCCTTTATCTTATGTCTCTTAGAAGTAAAATGGATCTTCAGAAATACCACTTTAATAACTATTTGATAGTTTCTTAGTTTTACATGCTAAATTTGTGTCTTAGGATTTGACTCTTATAACACTAACATAAGAGCACACCACATGTACCACATGAAAATTCAGCTTTTATTCTCATATGATCCAATTTAGAATTGTATCTAGTTGATTTATTAAAAATAACAATTCTAATACATTTTAATCATTACTTTTTTATTTGTTTTGTGGGACATTTTATTATTAAGTATATTTTATTGATTATGCTATTACAATTGACCCATTTTTCCCTTTTGTCCCCCTCTCCCTGCTACCCCCATTCCTTTCAGCAATCCCCACCTTAATTCATGTCCTTGGGTCATACATATGAGTTCTTTGGCTTCTCCATTTCCTATACTATTCTTAACATCCCCATGTCTATTTTGTACCTACCAATTATGCTTCTTATTCCCTGTACCTTTCCCCCAATCTCCCTCTTCCCCCTCCTTGCTGATAACCCTCCATGTGATCTCCATTTCTCTGATTCTGTTCCTTTTCTAGTTGTTTGCTTAGTTTGTTTTTGTTTTCTTAGATTCCATTATTGATAATTGTGAGTTTGTTGTCATTTTACTGTTCATAGTTTTGATCATCTTTTTCTTAGATAAGTCCCTTGAACATTTCCTATAATAAGGGTTTGATGATGATGAACTCCTTTAACTTGACCTTATCTGGGAAGCATTTTATCTGCCCTTCCATTCTAAATGATAGATTTGCTGGATAGAGTAATCTTGGATGTAGGTCCTTGCTTTTCATCTCTTCCAATAGTTTTTGCCAATCTTTCTAGCCTGCAAAGTTTCTTTTGAAAAATCAGCTGGTAGTCTTATGGAAACTCCTTTGTAGATAAGTCTGCTTTTCTCTTGCTGCTTTTAAGATTCTCTCTTTATCTTTAACCTTTGGCATTTTAATTCTGATGTATTTTGGTGTGGCCCTCTTTGGGTCCAACTTGTTTGGGACTCTCTGAGCTTCCTGGATTTATATGTCTATTTCCTTCATCAAATTTGGGACGTTTTCTTTCATTATTTTTTCAAATAAGTTTTTGATTTCTTCCTCTTCCTCTTTTCTTTCTGGCACCCTTATGATTCAGATGTTGGTACATTTGAGTTGTCCCAGAAGTTCCTAAGCCTCTCCTTGTTTTTTTGAATTATTGTTTTTCCTTTCCGTTCTAATGGTCGAATGTTTATATCTTCCTTTTGTTCCAAATCATTGATTTGAGTCCCAGTTTCCTTCCCTTCACTGTTGGTTCTCTGTATATTTTTCTTTATTTCACTTTGTATAGCCTTCACTTCTTCCTTTATTTTGTGGCCATACTCAACCATTTCTGTGAGCATCCTGAGCACCAGCGTTTTCAACTCTACATCTGATAGATTGGCAATCACCATTTTGTTTACTTCTTTTTCTGGGGTTTTGTTCTGTTCTTTCATTTGGACCATATTTCTTTGTCTGCTCAATTTGGCAGCCTCCTGTGTTTCTGCATATTAGGTAGAGCTGTTTTGACTCCCAGGTTACATTGTAAGGGGCGGAGCCTTAGGCATTCACCAGGACAGGGGAAACTTCTTCACTGCTTTGTGGCACTGTAAGTGGAGGATGGATTAAAGAGAGATAAGTGCCACTTGCTCAGCTCTCACCCCATTTCCTGTCACTTACCTCACTTCCCGTAATCACCTGATGCTCTTCTCCCTGCTGCCCTAGTGCTGATTCCCAGAGTGGGTAGGTTTGCACACATTCTAGGACCCTGTGGACTCTTTAAACAGACTGTCCTGAGAGACCTGCAGTTTCTCCCACCACCCTAAGCTACACTGGTTTTTATAGCCAAAGGTCATAAGGCTTTATTTCCCAGCCTTGGAACCATGGGCTGTGCAGTCTGGCGTAAGGCTGGGATCACTCACTTCCCAATTGTGCCTCCCAATTTTTATACGCTGCACGTGAATGTGGGACCACCCATTCCACCAGTCACTGATGCCAGGCCACTCTGCATCCTCTCTACCCCTCCTACCCATCTGGATGAATGTTTCTTCTTTAAATCCTTGGGTGTCAGACTTCCATACAGTTGGATTTTCTGGCAGTTCTGGTTTGTTTTTAGATTGGTTGTTATCCTTATGGTTGCGGAGGAGGCAAAGCGAGTTCTTCTATGCCTCCATCTTGGCTGGAAATCTGGTCATTACTTTTTGAAAGCTCCATTTAAGGAACAAATGAATAGTACATTTATCGAAACACTCCTGGATTTTAACATCTTTACAAGTTTTCTTGAATTCAAACCCTACTTCTTTCTCCCCAACCCCTGCTTTCTACTTTAGAAGTTATTTCTTCATATATTTATACTTTTTAAAAGCATGTCACAGCTTGTTCCTTCTGCCTCTTTTAACTGATCAGCTTTCTTTATATACATTCTTCTTACCTTTTATGAGCTAGATATCCTTCCTGGTAAACTCTTGGGATGTTCTTTTCACCTATCATCATCATCATTATTAAAAATCCACATATTATAGCAGCAGAATTCAGCTTACAGATGCCTTCTCATCCCTTTATGCCACCTGAGAGCCTTTTGTAGTACAATGCTGAAGAACATGGTAGGTGACCAATAAACATATTCTTATTTTTAAAAATCTAGCAGTAAGTTGAGTTTACCAAGTTCTTCAGGTATTACATTAGAACTGAAGTAATCATGGTGTATAAGACTACCAGTTCATGGACTTCTTTCGAAGAACCACACCAAAGCTAAAAGTTACAAATGATTCATGTTTTCCAGGTAGATTTTAGTCATTTTGTTACAGGGGGTAGTTCTAAGTTGCCCATCTACCAAAGACTAAAAGAGCCCAAGGAGAATCATTTATTCCTTATAAACCATCAGGATAACACTCCAAAGTTGGTGCCATCATCACCATTTCACCTCTGCTAGGGCAAATAGAAAACTTCTGGCTAAAATCTACTAATTTAAAAATGTGTGGATATGCAGTTCTAAGGGGAACTAATTGGAGACTAGAAATGGGGGGGGGGGGGACCACAACCCACTAATTAGCCAGGAGTAAACCAGTAAAGAAGTTAGCATTTGCCTTTGGAGTATTTCTGGCTGAAACTGGGGGAGGAAAATAGAGCCTAGTGCCTGAACAGTAGGGAGGTTGGCTTGGATTCCCTCCCTTTTCCCCACCATTAAAGCCAGAACTTCAGCTGGGTGGTCTGATTGTCTATTATTAATTACTATTATTGTTATTTTAAATCAACATATAACAGTAGCAGAATTCAAGGACTTGAAATGTGTAGATCTTCCAGCTTTTGTTCGGCTAGCTTTTTTCAGGTCCTGAAAAGACTTCAGCTGGAGTGCTAACCAGGGGTAGAAAAAATAGGGGTAATTTGTCAAAGGTGTCTTCAGCCACTGAGTTCAACGTTGTTGGCAAAATCATGTAACAATCTGGGAAAGCAGCAATAACTGAGTTATGATTGTTTAAGAGAAAACTTTAAGAAAGCTGGGAGACTAAAAAAAAAAGAAGTAGTCTATTCTGTAAAAGATTACAGCCATAGAGAATAACTGTAACTACTTATATTCCAAGTTATTTTGAATATTCTAGGACCCAATGACTGTGAGCCTGAGCTGACTATGATTTACCTGCAATTAACTGCATAATACTGAGGAAAGGAACAGCCAATTTTGTTTTGTTTTGTTTTGTTTTGTTTGAATTAAGACTGTGTCACTAAGATGGGATTGACATTTATGTTAGTGGATAGAGCAGCGGCAGCAGCCACAACTGTCTTTCTTTATTGACATGAGTCATTTTAATTTATGTATAGGGAAAAGAGATTTCTGCAAAAGACAAAAGGGGGAAAAAGACAAGCACAAGCCTTCATTATAGGAACTTCATTATCGTAACTTCACTACTTGTGAAGTTACATGAGCACCTGTCCCTGTTGTTTTTTTTTTTCTTTTATTCACTTTTAAAAAATTCTATGACTAGATAAGAGTAATGTCTATACTAAAACTTTATCTTCTGGCCAGATATAAAGTGGTTGGAGTGCCCTCTAGTGGAAGCTCCTCTCTGAGCTCTTAAAATGCCTTTTAAAAGCCAGATTGTTTGAGGGAGACCCCAAGTCTGGTTATTCAGGGAGATTAAGCATGATGATTTGGGAGCATAAGCATGATGGTTTGAGTTACCACACTGACCTGGAAAAAGACATGTGTATGGTTTTGTAATCTTTTTACAAATTGTGTCCTTTCCATAAAGGAACTTGGACCAAACTATATTATATTAAACTGTCAAGTACAAAAAATAACTGGCAGATAATGACACAGAATTAAAGCATATTGACATACACATATGCATGCTAACTTGCAATAATAGGCTCTGTATAATTTGGGGGAAAAGTCAAATACAAAAATCACAGCAAAACAGGAAATACTTTCCCTCCTGTCTCAATGCTTCTGGGGATGGATGCTTCCTAGCCTCCTCCAGGTGATTTGCGAATAAATACCTAATGGGCTCTTGTTCTTGTGCTTCCCTTGTTTTCCTACTCTCCTGCCCATTTCATATTTCTACTCTGACATGTTTTTCTTATAGTGAGGACATTTTTAGGGGAAAGACATTGCTCCATAGGTTTGTTTGTTTGAGTTTCTAGATTTACCAGCTTTGTGGCATAGGTCCTCTCAAAGGTAGTCAGTAATATTGTTTCCCAATTTTTGTATGCTCTACTTTCTCTTCCCTTTTTATGTCAACATGTCATTTGTCCATTAACAAAATAATGCTTTATCTAAGAGCTCTAGAAGATTCCAGTTTAGAATAGCTATGTTCACCTTTTTTCTGCTACCATATTGAGTTCACCAGCTACTAGCATTGGCTGAAAAATCAAAATTCACCTTTTCTTTGTATTTTATCTCTATTTTTAGTAGCAGAAGACCATGTCTGATTTGACTTTTCCTTTTCAGAGTATCTCTCACCTGCCATATCTGTGTGGGTTTTATTTAGTAGTTATCCTTTCTTTTTTAAAGTATATACTCCTTTCCAAAGACATCACTGCCTTTGTGTTGTGATCAGCTGACCTATTTTACAATCCTAAGAGTTCGTTCCTATCAGCACCTACTGTACTACTCTTTTTCTGAAACGTATATTTAACTTTGGGGGCCTTGAGCATGCTGAGGAATGATAAGGAGAATAAATATAAATGTCATACTATAGCTTTAATAATAACAAATGAGGTCGATTAAGCATACATCTGTCAGTCAGATCATAAACATTTTTTGCGCATCTTCTATATGAAAGTCACTGTGCTAGGTGCTAGGGAAAAAAGAGCTATAACTTTGCCTGCTCTTTAGGTTCCAGAGAGATCAAAGAAAGCTAACAGTACAGTGATGTATATATAATATGTATAAATTAAATAGTACGAAGATCACTACTAAAGAAGTTAGTTATCAGAGGCGGCTTTTTTGAAGAGGTGGATTATTAGCTGGACCTTAAAGAAGAGCCAGCATTCAGACAGCAGAGTTGGGAGGGTGGTAATCTAGGAGAGTAGGACAGTGTGAGAAATGGCACAGAGACAAGAATGCACAGGAAACACTCAGGGTTAGCCTGGCAGCCTGGAGAGTAAGTTTCATTTAGCAAAGTAGTAAGATAGGTAGGTAGGTAGGCTCCAACCTTAATTACACAGGGTCTTAAATTTCCAACTTAGTCATTTAAATTTACTCATATAAGTGGTAGAGAGCTACTGAACATTTTTGAAAATGGGAATTATATAATCAAAGGGTACTTTAGAATGAAGAATTATCTGTATAAGATGGGATGAACAGTGAAGACTGTTATATTCCTCTTCCCTTCTAGCAGTCTCAGCATGAAGCAATAAAACCTGGACTTGGTGGTGCATTGGAAATAGAAAGGAAGGAATGGTTACCTAAAACATTAGAGGAAATATTCCTCAGGTCTCCAGGATCCCCATCCTGTGTTCCAAGCACTTAGTGGTCCAAGCTAGAACCTGGGAGTTATCAAGGACTTTCCCCCACGCTCCACGCATACATCTGTCAACTGCTGCATCCTTCCGTTTCACCCACGTCGGCCCTTCCCTCCATCTCCTGCTGCCAGTATCCATGCTCAGGCTTTTGGTTGAATTTTTGCTTGATATTTCTGAAAAACACATCTGGTCATGTCACTGTCCATGTTAAAATTCTTCTGTGGAGTAGGCTAAAGTCCAGGCATCTTGATCTAACGTAAGAGAACCTCCAGGATCTGATCTGTGCCCATATCCCCGTGTCTTACTGCCCCAGCACTTGTAGTTACCCAAATACTGCATGCACTCTCATATCAGGCATTTGTACACGTGAGCCTCCTGACACACAACAACCTTCTTTCCTACTCCTGCTTCTTTAGGGAACTGCACTGGCCTTCCCATGTCCTTCCATGACACACTGTGCTTATTACCTCTGTTGTGGCTGTCACAAAGGAGTGTAACCTTACTGGTGTTGCTCTCCCTAGACTGCAACCTTCTCACGGGGCACAAAACTGCTTCTTATTTTCTTTGTATCCCAAGTATCCTCGAGGTGAGATACAATACCTGGCCTACAGTTAGCATTCAATGAATAATTAAGGAAGGAAAACAAGAAAATTTGGCAACTAATTAGATATAAAGAATAAGGATGAGAAACTGGGTAAGTCTAAAATGACTTCAAAATTTCAAGCCCAGATAACTCAGGATGGTACCATCATTAACAAAAACAGGTATCCATGAGAAGAACTCACTTTGAGAGGAAGTTTTAAATTTGGTTTTTGATATTTTGACTTTGCCATCAGCATACAGAATACAAATGGAAATATCTAGCAATTAGTTGGATGTGAGGAATTCTTGGAGCTCAAAGCCTTAAAACAGTATTCCTTTTTTTTTAATTCTGATCTTTCAAAGTCTAATTTCAAAAGCCCCTTGTGAGGTTAGCCCTAAATATGTCTGCTAGTCTGGGCAAACAGAATTTTATGTCTCTTGAACATAACAGTCCCTCCTGACTGGTGGATAGCTCTGCAGTTCTGGTCCCAGGTGTTCTGGGCTAAGCCTGAATGGACATTCTCCTACAAATGTATTGTTATCTACATTAATGCATTTGACTCTGTGGTCTCAGCCCCAGAAGGATGCTACAAAAAATAATATGCCATCTTGTTATTGAGCTTTTATTTAGATGTTCCTTTGACAAAATCAAGGGCATGGAAAAATTCCCTTTTTTTATCATTGAAAGGAGAGTACTTGATTCTTGATCTAAATGGCTTTCTGATCAGACTGAAATGACCAGCTCTTGATGTTGTAGTTATTGTTTACCGTAGCCAATCTTCCTAAGCAATTGTTTCTTTTATAGGTTGCTGAATAATCATCATGATGATGCCTCTAAGTTTATCCATCTTCTCGCAAAGCCCAGCTGCAGCTATCTGGAACAGGAGGATTTTATCCCTTTGCTTCAGGTAATTTTCATTCCTTTTTTCAAATGGGTTTTATTCTTAAAATATAGAAACTTAAAAGGAATAAACCTATGAAAGTGAGTGGGATGGTACAGAACAACAGAGGAGAAAAAAAATCAGTGTACAAGAGATTTCAGTATTTCTTAAAGATAGAAAGCAAAAGCTGGTTAAGGAACCACAGCCCAGAACGAGGGACTGTGTATGGGCTGCAGTGGAAAAGTGGGCTACTCTGTTTTACACTGCTCATTAGGATCCCAGAGAGGCCATAAACACTGCTAACCCTGAGCCCATTAGACATGGGGATTCGCTGAAGGTTGGCATACAGAACAATCGACGAATTGAATCCTTACCTGGTTCCCAAATACAAAGTATAACCTGGCATTGACTCACAAGCATAAAAAACTGACAAAACAATAATAAAGTATGTTAAGACAAATTCCATTAGAGGGATATACTAGATATTATCTGACTGGTACTTCTCAAAACTGTCAAGGTTGCCCTGGCTGGTGTGGCTCAGTGGGTTGGGTGTCAGCCTGCAAATCGAAAGGTTGCCAGTTTGATTCCCAGTCAGGGCACGTGCCTGGGTTGTGGGCCAGGTCCCTGGTTGGGGGCTTGCAAGAAGCAACTGGTTGATGCTTCTCTCCTCTTTCTCCCTCCCTTCCCCTCTCTTTAAAAAATAAATTAAATGTTTTTTTAAAATACTGTCAAAGTCATGAAACAAGGAAAGTCCGAAAAACTATCACAGCCATAAGGATTCTAAGAAAGCATGACAACTAAATGTAATGAGGAATCCTGCATAGGATACTGGCACAGATAAAAGACTGTAGGTAAAAACTAAGGAACTGTGAATAAGGTGTGGCCTTTAATATTAGTAATAATGATGTATTGATACTGGTTTATTAATTATGACTATTGCTAATGTAAGATGTTAATAATAGAGGAAACTAGGTGCAGAGTATATAGGAACTCTGTGTTATCCTCTCAATTTTTGTGTAAATCTAAAACTGTTCTAAAAATTAAAAGTATTTTTTAAATATATTCAGAGAGGTTATATAAAATAAGAATAGAATGTTATGAAAACAGAATGCTACCACAACAAAAGAGCTACTAGAACTTTAAAACATAAGTACCAAAATTAAAGATTTCAACATGAGGCCTGGAAACTTAAGTTAAGGATATCTCTGGCATGCACATGCATACATACACCACACACACGAGGGAGAGAAACAGAAAAAGAGACAGAGAAACATAGAGGGACCAGTTCAAGAATTTCAACATCTAACTAACTGGAGTCTGTGAAGAAAGGGGAAAAATGGAGAGAAGGAATTTGTCCAAAAAATGCAGAATCATCAATACAGGATGGAGAGAATTGGAGAGATTGGAGTGATGGGATGGACCCACCGAGCAGGTAGCCACTGGGATTCTTGTTTTTTTCCTTGGAGGAAACGAAACACATGTGTGTAACCAGTGAATCAGAAATAGGACATGACCCTCCCACCTCAGCCTCTCGTGCTCCCCTAGTCACTGTCCACATAATCAAACACAGAGCCCAAGTCTTTTGCTTGAAAGGAGCCACTGAGTGCCAAGCACAGTGAATAAAAAAAGGCATACATAAACATGCCCTCTTGACATTTTAGAAAAACGCTGATGAAGAGAAGATACTAAAAGCTTCCAGAGAGAGAAAAAGATCACCTTAATAGGAATAAGAAACGATGTGATATTAGATTCTCATTGGCAATTCTGGGGAAATGGATTTGAACTCACATTTCTGTGTCCTGCCAAGCTATCAGTTGAATATGAGGTTTGAATAAAGATATTTAAAAACTCATAAAGCTTATCTCCTATTTTCTTATAGGTTTACAGTGGTCCCTCCTCTTTACCTGCAGTTTTGCTTTCCAAAGTTTCAGTTAAACATGTTCAACCACAATCCAAAAATACTAAATGGAAAACTCCAGAAATAAACAATTCATAAGTTTTAAATTGCAAGCCATTCTGAGTAGCATGATGAAATCTTTTGCCATCTTGCCTGGACATGAATCATACCTTTGTTCAGTGTATCCACACTATATATGCTACCTGCTCCATTAGTCACTTAGTAGCCATCTTAGTTATTAGATCAGTTGTCGTGGTATCACAGTATTACATTCATGTAACATTTATTTTACTTAAATATAGCCCCAAGCCATTCATATAATTTTTATTTTCATAACAAAACTTCTATTACAGCATATTGTTATAATTATTCTATTTTATTACTAATTATTCTTGTTAGTCACTTACTGTGCCTAATTTATAAATTGAACTTAATCATAGGTATACAAGTTTAGGAAAAAACATGGTATAATATAGGATTTGGTACTATCCGTGGTACTATAGGATTTGGTAATATAGGATTTGGTACTATAGGATTTAGGCATCCACTGGAGGGTCTTAGAACACATCCCTTGCAGATAAGGGGAGAATACTGTACTTGAATATGTACTGCAGCACATTAAGCAAACCAGGAAAGAGGAATGCATGAGATTCAGGAAAACATGAATTCAATTCAGAGAAGCAGTGAAGGGAAGTCCCAGGATGACAACTGATGAGTGCTGGAATGCATCACAAGGGAACAGAAAAATTATTTCAAGAGATAATGGGGTTGGGGACTTCCGGCCAAGATGGAGGCACAGGTAGACACACTCTGCCTCCTCGCACAACCAAAAGGACAACAACAATTAAAAAAAAAAATAAGCAGAACTAATAGAAAACCCAACTGTATGGAAGTCCGACAACCAAGAAGTTAAAGGAGACACACTCATCCAGACTGGTAGGAGGGGCAGAGACAGGCACTCGGAGAGGACTCGAGACAAAGCAGTGGTGGAGGACCAGGGTCGGCAAGGTTGCTCCAGGTGGACCCAGCGAGAGATTATGGAGTAGGGTGCGGGAGGCTGCAGCTGGCTGGCAAGACTGTGGCAGCAGCTGGTGGAGCGGGCAGTCCCACATTCACACACAGATAAACCAGGAGGAACAACTGGGGAGCAAGACAGACTGCGCAACCCAAAGCTTCAGCACAGGGAAATAAAGCCTCAAAACACTGATTGAACACACATATGGGGGTTGAAGGGGGAATGGGAGAAATTTCCAGACTCACAGGAGAGTTCATTGGAGAGACCCACAGTGTCCTAGAACGTACACAAGCCAACCCACCCAGGAATCAGCACCAGAAGGGCCCAGTTTGCTTGTGGGAAGTGGGGGAAGTGACTGAAAGCCGGCAGAGAGTGGAGCAAGCGCCATTGTTCCCTCTCAAAACCCTCCCCCACACACAGCATCACAGTGAAGCAACCCAAGTTACCTCGCCCTGGTGAACACCTAAGGCTCCATCCCTCACTATGTAACAGGCGCATCAAGACAAAAAAAAAAAAATGGTCTGAACAAAAGAACAGACCAAAGCTCCAGAAAAAATATAACTAAGGAATGAAGAGATAGCCAGTCTATCAGATGCACAGTTCAAAACACTGGTACTCACAGGATTGGTTGAATTTGGTCACTAATTAGATGAAAAAATGAAGGCTACACTAAGTGAAATAAAGAAAAATGCACAGGGATCCAATAGTGATGAGAAGGAAACTGGGACTCAAATCAATGGTGCAGAGCAAAAGGAAGAAAGAAACATCCAACCAGAACAGAATGAAGAAACAAGAATTTAAAAAAATGAGGAGAGGCTTAGGAACCTTCAGGACATCTTTAAATGTTCCAACATCTGAATTATAGGGGTACCAGTAGGAGAAGAGGAAGAGCAACAAGTAGAAAAGTTATTTGAACAAATAATAAAGTAGAACTTCCCCCATCTGGCAAAGGAAATAGACTTCCAGGAAGCCCAGAGAGTCCCAAAGAAGTTGGACCCAAGGAGGAACACACCAAGGCACATCATAATTACATTACCAAGGTAAAAATGAGGAAGAGAATCCTAGAAGCAGCAAGAGACAAGGAGACAGTCACCTACAAAGGAGTTCCCATCAGACTGTCAGCTGATTTCTCTAAAGAGACTTTGCTGGCAAGAAGGGGCTTGAATGAAGTATTCCAAGTCATGAAAGACAAGGACCTACATCCAAGATTGCTCTATCCAGCAAAGCTTTCATTTAGAATGGAAGAGCCAATAAAGTGCTTCTCAGTAAGGTCAAGTTAAAGGAGTTCATCATCACCAAGCCCTTATTATATGAAATGTTAAAGGGACTTATCTAAGAAAAAGAAGATAAAAAGAATGTATAGTAAAATGATAGCAAACTCACAATTATTAACAACCACACCTAAAACAAAAACAAAAGCAAACCAAGCAAACAACTAGAACAGGATCAGAACCACAAAAATGGAGATCACATGGAGAGTTATCAACAGGGGAGTGGGAGGGGGAGAGAGGGGGAAAAGGTACAGAGAATAAGTAGCATAGATGGTAGGTAGAAAATAGTCAGGGGGAAGGTAAGAACAGTATAGGAAATGTAGAAGCCAAAGAACTTATATGTTCAACCCATGGACATGAATTAAAGTGGAGGAAAGTGGGTGGGAGGGGGTGTGCAGGATGGAGGGGAGTGAAGGGGAAAAATGGGACAACTGTAATAACATAATCAATAAAATATATTAAATTAAAAAAGAGATAATGGTCCAAATTTGTCTATTCTTGATAAAAATATAAACTCACAAACCCAAGATGCTCTGTATGCCCAAAACACAAGAAACAATGAAAACTACACCAAGGCACATCACAATAAAATGGCTCAAAACCAATAATAAAGAGAAAGTCTGTAAAATAGTCATATTTTGCAGAGGGGAACAAAGATAAAGATGGCAGCAGATTTCATGCTGAAAACAGTCCCAGTCCAGAGGACAGTGGAGCAACATTTTTAAAGTACTTAGAGAAAATAACTCTCAACCTAGAATAATATAAACAGTGAAAACATATTTCAAAATGAAAGTGAATTAGAGATTTTTTTAGACACAGAAAAAAATGAAAGAATTCATCACCA